ATTTTTTATTTTTTATTTTTTATTTTTTACTTTTTATTTTTTTTTATTTTTTTTGATTTGCATATATTGAGTATCAGATAGATTCTTGTAGCTAACATATGTCAAATAACTACCAAATAATTAGTATTAAAGAATCGGCAACAATTGGCCTAAATTACTTTGTAATTTTTATTCTAACTCTAATCCTAACTTAGACCAGGTGTCATTTAATGCATATATACTAATCATAGTATTGAATTAGATGGAAATTACAGAACTAACAAATTTTTGTATTATAACTATATTGTTTATTTTAACTCAATTCAGGTTCAGGTAAATCTATTTTGGGTTCAAGTAAGACCTAATCCAGGTTCAAGTAAACATAATTAAAATATTTTAAACCCAAAGAATATTCAAACCTGAGAGCTAGTCTTAAAACTAATGTCAGGATAAAATATATAGTCATGGCGATCATTTATTTAACTCGTACACATATCAGAGGATTTAGTAGATTGGCTCGAATTCTGGGTCAGAATATGGTGATTAATTTTGTCCAAAATAACTCAAAATTTTACTAATAAACCCATAGCCTACTCACTAAGATAATTTTACTGTAATCAGGGTTGTAAATATAAAACTTACAGATAGTAAGTTACTGGTAAATTACCATAATTACCAAATTATTGTGGAGTTAAGCTTAATTTTGGCTGGCATTAACTTTATATGTATAGTCAACTTTTCTATTAAATATTGGCTAATCATATATATAATCTTTGTCTGATCATATGTATAATCTTGGCCGATCATATGTATAATCTTGGCCAATTAAAATTTTTTGTCATAATAATTTACCATGGTAATTTACTATAATTTTTAGTAACTTACCGTAAATTACAGTAATACCTGACTGTAATATATTTAGTTATTGTTATTTCTTAATGCTAGCCTAAATCTGATGAAAGCTGATCTATAATTCTAGCTGATCTGCTGAATTTTGGTTGTGTTGCTAACTGATTTAGCATTACCAATCTAAAAAATTTCACTAAAAAAATTTCATTGTTAGATTAGAATTAGGACTAGGTTTTACTATTAAACTAGGCTATAAAGAGCTTTAGTAATACCAAATTTCGCAAGAAAAACTTTTTGTTAGTGCACAGGTGATTTCATAGATAAAATGTTAAGCTATGAGCGGTTTTTGGTTTGTTTTGATTTTTCACGTTTCTTCTACATCACACCTGATATTGAAGTCTGATTGGATAGCAAAATTTTTTAGGTTGGTAATGTTAGAACAGTTGGGTAAAATCGCTATCAAAAAAAGTTTCAAAAATCACGTGTATTGTCAATTATGATTAGGATAATAATAATATTACGACAGGGTGAAACCCATGTTGCTAGCTAGTAAAATCCGCTATGATTGTCACGTAGGTAAAATCTGTTTTTATATAATAAAAAACATAATCAACCGCGAATTTCACCCTAATCTGACTACGTAGCAGATTTTACTAGCTAGCAATGCGGGTTTCACCCTGTTCTATAATATTTAGTAAAATATTAATTGATTTAGTAAGTGATGTTTTTTCTTCAAAATGGCAAACAAGTAATTCTAAAAATATACATTGATTGTCGTAACCAAATTTTCATAATAAAAGTCAAAATTTATTATAAAACTAATCAAGAAAATACAATTGCACCAGAAAACCTTGTAGATTTTATTTTTAATGCTTTTTATAAATCTGAATCCGGGACGCAACAAAAAAAATTAATGAAGAAAACATAATGAATCCAATAGTAACAAATGGCTCGATAGTATCAATAAAAACCTTGAGCTATTGCATAAATTAGAAGAGGATTATAATCATTTTAAAAGGCAATAGAATATTCCAAATACTTAGAAAAACCGTAATTATAATACTTTCTGGCTATAATAAAATATTATATTTACTGAATTTAAATAAATAAAGTGATTAATTGTATTTTTGTCCATATTACATGAATTTTTAGAGTTTGATATATTTTTCATGTCTGAAAAAAATCTATGAAAAAATTTTATTTAAAAATTTCTAATCACTGAAATTTAGATTACTCTGGCTATTTTGGGTTCAGGGATCACTCTTGCTATTTTGGAGATCATTCTGGCTATTTCGGGTTCAGAGATCACTCTGTTTATTTTGGGTTCAGCTTCATCTTTGGCTGTTTCGAGTTCATCTTCATCTTCGGCTGTTTCAGATTCTTTGTAAGATATAATCCAAATAAAATTTAAGCTAACTAGATTCTTCTGTATAAAAGTAAAGTTAAATAAGTAATGTTTCTCAATAAGCATAATCAAATCAAAACCACCAAGATGGTTAGATGCAGGAATATAAGTTTAGATATATATATATATATAAAGGATTGCATATAACTAGCTCTATCTAAAGAATTAGTAAACCCTTTATAATAACTTATATTAAAAGATCCCAAAGTTTCTCCCAGACACTAAAAAGCAGGTAGACAACAACATCCATTTCAGTCTTGAAAGGCGTAAGTACACAAATACCGGTTATAGAGCAAGACCTGGACAGACCCTATCTTAATTTTTTATCTTTGTTATACTTACTTTCTTATTTTTTCATAGAAGTTGTGCGGTTTCTTGTACTTGAAGTGGTTGGTTTTCATCATCAATTATAAAGCGTAAAATCTGATAAAAAGCATGCTATGAATTTTGTTTTTTAACATTTTTATAGTTTTGGACCATTGAATGGCTAAAATGGGGGAGTGACCACTTTTCTACCAGAATGTACTCGAAATATTTACCATAAGAAATGTCAGTATCTTGTTTAAAACAATAAGTATTAGTCATTATTATTCTATATAGAAGAAGATAAGAAAATCACTTAGATAATCTGGAAGTTATATATATTTACGTGTTATTTATATCAAAAAAAACGTATGTACGTATGTACTAACATATGCTAACACAAGGTGACCAACCAAATTTAGCAAACTACAGTCAGGGAATCTTCCAAATTAGAGGGTCCCTTAAAGTGGTGCAGACTAGAGGTGCACCTCTAGTGCAGACTTCATATAAAAACGTAACCCGGCTTTAAGGACCCCATAAACTTGGGAAAGATCTACATACTGCATAAATTATCTTCTTGATATATACATAAACCACTACTATTATTGCATCAAAAACGTAACACTAACTGCATCAAAAAAGTAATTCTAACGCACCTGGCTTTAACGTTCCCCTAATTTGGGGTCCAAGTTTATACCAAACGCACTTGGCTTTAACGGGAGTCATCTAAAGGCGTGTACCCACGTGACTTTTTTGTGTAAACCAACCGAAATTGCGAAATTTTGTTTATACGGATCAGCCCGAAGAAGTCAAAAAATAAAAAATGTCTAAGCCTGTCTTGAGGCACTAATTAAAAAATGTCGGGAAGGTAATTTTACCTATATTAAAATGTCAAAATCATGTGGGTACACGGCTTATAGGATAACTTTCTTCTGATTGGCCAATCATTTACAATTGTATTTATACAGTTTAAAGGGGTCCGTATTGATTCACCGACACGACATCACGCCAGGTGAAATTTAGTAAAAATATATACCTGCAATTAATGAAATGCTTAACCCTAACCCTATGTGACGTCGGCTAAACGATCGTTCGGTGAAATGATTGTCGGTGAATTGAAGGGATCCCAGTTTAAAGTACTTTTTAAGAATGTAACATTCACGACCGATTTTAAAAGTCTGCGTGACAGACCTTACTAATCAATAAAATGACCCTTAGTAAAATCTTTATTATTGACGTATTTCCAATATGCCGATTTTTTTTTAGTTAACTATAACCCAAAAAAATGCTATTTATTCTGGCATATAGTTTTTTTTTTGTTTTTTTTTTACAATGCCTTCGATATAACAACAAAAAGAGGAAAAGCGAATCAGCCTGCTTAACCACTTGAAAAAGCTTTATGATTATCTAATGTCTAAGTCGTTAATGTACGACGAAATTATAGGTTTTCGTCTTGCTTTTTTTAAGTGAAATGTAGAGCCTTTAAGGAGTTGTTCTCTAATCTCCTTTAATCAGAATAAACCATGTTTGTTAACTTTTAATAATTTCTTTCGCTTGGTGGGCTATAAAGCAAAAAAAAAAATGTTGAAATTTTAAACAAAAAAAAAAAAAATTAAAAAAAATTCATTTACCGCCATGGAACTCCCAAAGCATCAAATATGTCTTTTTCTGTTCTTTGAGCAATCAAAATTCCTTTATTTAAACATTTATTATGGCCTCGATAAACATTTTTATATAAACCATGATGGTTTAGATTCATTTTCTATATGTACATAAAAAATTTTATTATGCTGTATAATTTTTTTTTTTAAACATCGCATTTCAATAATTCTTTAATTTGGAATAGTTACCTTTTTCTTCGCGAGTAACCTTATACTTCGATTAAATATATCGTTACCTGTAAAAGATAGTAATGCAGCACCTAATTCATTAAATGGAACAATGAACATGTCTAGAAATTGAAAAGACATCAATATTAAATTAAAAGTCACAAAACATAAAAGTTATAAATATGGTTTTTCCCTACCTATCCGACGATGTTTTCCACCAGGCAACCTACACAAACCAAAATACTTTGATGAAGTTTCTTCACGTTGTGTGAGATCATGCGTTAATAGTCCTTGTTCATGTAAAATATTGAGCAATTTTGAAAAGGCATCTATAAAAAAAAAAAAAATATATATATATATATAAGTTTATATTCTTTATAATGATATATAATATATGAGTAAATCAAATTTTACCATAATCTTTTTTTCCATCCAAACCACTTTTAGTTATTAAAATGTCAATGTCCCCGCAGGTAGGTTGACCTCTTATATAAGATCCAACAGTAATACATAATAAATCAGGATCGATCTTACTAGCCACTTCTTTTACACGTTTTGAGATTTCAGTTACTTCATCTCTTGGAATTCTTTCTTGAAGATCCTTTAGGAACTAATTAGTATATGTATTTAATTTTAGATACATATTAATCTAATGATTTTAAACTTACATCAAAGTATTCAATTCCAATACGTTGGGCGTGTGTTAATTTAACATTATTAATAATATCGTCAAAAGTTCTGTAACCTTTTGCATACCATTTCATAGCAGTAGATGCGCCTATACCTATTTTATTAACAATGGATTAGAAGCACACAAAAAAATTTTTGGTAAAATAATAATAATAATAAATAAATAAATAGATAATAATAGATAATGAAGACAACCATAAATATCACTGAATTTTTTAATTATTTCGTCGCCTTCTGAAAAATGTTGTAACCGTTTTAAATTTCCAGTATTGATAATTTCTGCGATCTGTAATATAAAAAGGAAGATTAATTTCCATAAACAAAATTCAAAGAAAAATAAAAAAAAAACAGACTTTTTCAGCGATGCGATGTCCTATGCCAGGAATTTTTATGGCTTCTTTGTAAGAGGTGATTGGTTCTTTTTGGTTTTTTATCTCGGAGATTGCTTTTCGGTAACTTAAAGTCCGCCATTCATCTCTCATTCGTTGATAATGATTCAATAACACTTGGAGCTATAATTTGTAATGAAAAATGTTTAATATGAGCTCAAGACAATAATGTCCCTAAATATTTATTTGTTTCATTTGATTTTATTACCACAAACCTTGTCAATTATCAATTGATTCGGATTATTTTCTTCGACTTGCATTGATGACACAATGATTTCATCTTCTGGATCAGACATTTTACTGTCTTGAACGCTACGAGACTCATCATCGTCATCGTTATCATCGTCCAATGTAAAACCCTTTAAATTACGAAAATTATACCCTTGAATATATAAAGATTGTGTTAATTAAAGCGCAAAAAACTTACCGCTTCTGCAAGGTACTTGGTCTCCTTGATTATTTCCAACAAAGGATCGTTACTTTGTATTTTTGATTCATTGGATTTTGGTAAAATGGAAGATGGAGAAGACGAACGCATTTTTGGTGACAAGGAGTCTTGCCTCCGTTTCTTTTTTAACCGATTATTTCTTTGGAAAATAGTCATTGAAACAGATAAAAGTTCGATACTGGAATTTTACACATTAAAAAACAATTTCTTAGAATCAAAATGCACCTTTCATTTTCGCTATTGTCATCAGTTAAATCGTCATGAATCCTTTTATCGCTTTGTTTCAACGACTGGGTGTTTAGTATATCACATGTTTGTACAATGTATGGCCTTACATCCATGAGTTTTCCATTCTAATTTAATGAAAATGTGAAATTAAGATATGCAAGAATAGAAATGTAACAAGTTATCCTTTGCTTACCATTAAACATTGTGATATCCAATTTGGTTCGACTATAAATACACCCTATATTACAATGAATTGTGGAAAAATACGATAAAATACAGTAATAGGATTAATTAAGGGGAACTTATCATTTCATTAAATACCTGAGGAATATCGTTAATTCCCAAAATTTCCAAAACCTTTTGACCTTCCAAAGCAGTAATTACATGAGTTACAGATGCATCGAATTTATTGCTAACGACTTGTCCACCCCCTTCTTCTACTTTTTGTTTCAACAATCTCAAACGAACTTTATCAATGTTGTTTGGAATAAAAAAGATTCGAATATCAGAAAATAAACCATCTGAGCTTGATGGTGGATTGGTATTTTTTGACAGAACAGCATCTTTTTTTTTCCTTCCACGGGTTGCTTTAGACGGGCTAGAATGGATTTGTTTAGATTTAACAATAGAAGCTTTTTGTGATGAATGTGATGCATCTGCTAATGGATCATGTTGAAATTTTGAATTATCGGAAGTATTTTTTTTTTTATGCATAATTTTATAAATTTTACGTTCCTTTCTATTACTTGGTTTAAAAGAAAATGATGACAATTGAGGTGATGAGACATTTTTATTTACGGCTGAATAAGTCTGAGTGTTAATTTTCTTTAAAACCGGTGCATCAAAATCATGTGATGAAACATGAGGCTCAGAGGTTGTTTCCTCTAAAATGCTATCGCTACCGAACGTTCTTTTCTTGTTCGTCATGCAAGTTGAATTATCATCGCTCTTTAAAATTTTGTTTTCTTGTGCAGAAGCTCGTTGATCTTCTTGGTCGTTATTATTATTGTTCGCAGAAGACCTAATCGACTTAGTTGGAACATCAAAATTGGTCGAACTTGAGATTCCGTTTTCTTCCGAATCCATATTGTTCAATCCTATAAAAAGTTACTGTGAGTGCAATGAGAAAAGAACACAAGTGTGAAAGTGTATAATGAGATATGTATCAACTGAAATTTAAATAATACGACTATTTCTAGAAGAAGAAAAGTTATTTTTTAATGAGTAATTGATTACTAATTATTTCATGATATAAATTATAACGATAGGCTTATATGGAATAGTCCATTTCATTAATTATAAAGTAAGGATTCAAACTAATGATAAAAAAATACTCTATCCTTTATCCCTTGTTCTTTGATTGTGCAGATACCCTTTATTGTTAAGTAGTCTGCGATACCGCGCAACGAAAAACGTCTTTCGGGTAAGACGTTATTAAACAGATTTTATTATCTAATAAATCAAGGATTGTGTTCATAAATAGCAGCATATACGTATGTGGTAGGTATGTTTGGAATTTTGTGGATTTGTAAGTGCATTTCGAATCCAAAATCAATTTAGGTTGGTTTCTATCACATTAATTATCATTACGACAACAATCCAGGCACAGGCAGTCAAATGCTTTTGTCTTCATACAGGGTAGAGTATCCGGGGTATTGCGGTGCATAATTCTGCTCACGCTAAAAATATTTTTTACAT